AGCCAGGTGGCCATTGAGGCTCTGTCGGCCATGCCTACAGTTCGAAGCTTTGCCAACGAGGAGGGTGAAGTCCAGAAGTTTAGGGAAAAGCTGCAAGAAATAAAGACACTCAACCAGAAGGAGGCTGTGGCCTATGCAGTCAACTCCTGGACCACTAGTGTGAGCACCTGAAGATGAATACCCATTCCCTTGTCCTTAAGATGCCGTAACTCCATTCCCATTCCTATGACCCTGCTCCCACTCCTCCTTTACTGGGAAATGGTTGGAAATACCAGGTTTCACCATGTTAGCCAGGATGGTCTCAATCTCCTGATCCACCTGCTTCGGCCTCCAAAAGTATTGGGATCACCGGCGTGAGCCACCGTGCCCGGCCGACTGTTTCCTCATTTTCTAAAAATGGAGTGATATAACCTTCTTTATAGGGTTCTTGATGTACTAGCTGACATCACATGAATGAAAACCTCTTGCGAAGAGTAAAATGCTCCCCAGACAAGGTGATGGTGGTGATAGTGGTGAAGATAACCGTGACTTCCATGATGTGCATTGAGTCAGACTTCCTGGGGTCTCTGGGTCATTCTCCTGTCTACCTATTGAGCCTACCGATGTCACTTGGGAGAAGGGGACTTGATATTTCCTTTATGTGAATGACTGTGGTTCTTTGTGTCCCCTCCAGATTTCTCTACCTCAGTCCCTTTTTCTCTGTGGTCTCTATAGATTTCAGGCATGCTGCTGAAGGTAGGAATCCTCTATATCGGTGGGCAGCTGGTGACCAGCGGGGCTGTAAGCAGTGGGAACCTTGTCACATTTGTTCTCTACCAGATGCAGTTCACCGTGGCTGTGGAGGTGAGGTCCTTCCACCTTCACTCCCCAGTGTGATTCCTTCCTCTGGCCCAGCACCATCTGTGTTACTTCTTTCCATTCTTTACCCTTCTCACTTCACATAATGCTGGCAAGCAGACTAGGTCTCCCACCTCACTTTCACTATTCTTACCTCCCTCTAGGTACTGCTCTCCGTCTACCCCAGAGTACAGAAGGCTGTGGGCTCCTCAGAGAAAATATTTGAGTACCTGGACCGCACCCCTCGCTGCCCACCCAGTGGTCTGTTGACTCCCTTACACTTGGAGGGCCTTGTCCAGTTCCAAGATGTCTCCTTTGCCTACCCAAACCGTCCAGATGTCTTAGTGCTACAGGTACAACCTACCACTCCCTGTATTCCACTGGCCCCAACTATAATTCTGCCATCCTACATTTTCTTCCTGCCTTCAGCCTGCTTACTGCCAAGCATATATCCTTCCTAACCCTTTAAAGGTAATGATAAGCATTGTCTGTTCCATAAATCTTCCCCAAACTCAAGAACCCAGTTTGAGCTTCCAAAGAGAATGGGAGAAGAGGTTTCGAAGCGAGTGCTCTCACATTCCAAGGAATTGCTGCAGGAAAATCTGTGTCTTCGGTCTTCCATCTTTCCTTCTCCTTTGTAATTTGGAATGTGATTTTTCCATTTCCTGGTGGTATCTGACATCAAGTGTATGGCATAGTGGTGCTGGGTGTCTGCCCTTGTCTTTGCCACATCTTCTATCTCTACTCCTTGGGGAGGCATCACCCAGACAGAGATCTGTGCATGTGGCAGGGTAGGAGTTGCTATGTTTCCCTGTTTTTCTTCTGGGGTAAGACATCATGCTATGTAACAAGGCAATAACACCCTCTAGGTTAGAGGCCTTGGTAGCCTCTTATTGTGTGCTTCTCTGGCCTCTAGGGGCTGACATTCACCCTACGCCCTGGCGAGGTGACGGCGCTGGTGGGACCCAATGGGTCTGGGAAGAGCACAGTGGCTGCCCTGCTGCAGAATCTGTACCAGCCCACCGGGGGACAGCTGCTGTTGGATGGGAAGCCACTTCCCCAATATGAGCACCGCTACCTGCACAAGCAGGTATGCAAGAAGGTGGCATGAAGGAAGGCAGGGAGCATCAAATAAGAACAGCGTTCTTACTGAGCACTCTGAAAGGGGAGTTAGGGAATGATAAGAGACCTTGGGTGGAGATGGTGGTGTGGTCAGGAGGGAGGTAGTATGATTTCGTGACATGTTCTCAATAAAGATTTTGAGTCTTCGATCTCCAGATAACCATACTCCTGTGTGCCTTGTTCTATGACTCTTCATCATATTTCATCTCAGGTGGCTGCAGTGGGACAAGAGCCACAGGTATTTGGAAGAAGTCTTCAAGAAAATATTGCCTATGGCCTGACCCAGAAGCCAACTATGGAGGAAATCACAGCTGCTGCAGTAAAGTCTGGGGCCCATAGTTTCATCTCTGGACTCCCTCAGGGCTATGACACAGGTACTCTCTCCACTCATCTCACCACCCAGCCATCTTTACCTTTGCTGAAACCCCAGTAGTCTTGCCTTTATCCTTCAGTTTCTCCTGACTCATGGACATCAACTTGAAGTTGTAAGATCGTGCTCCTATGGCTTCTTCATCCTGACATCCTCAGGATTCTGTTCACCCTCCCAGAATCTCCCCTATCCAGCTACAACTGTCAGATCTTGGTGTGTGTGAGTGCATGAATGCATGAGTGTGTCTGTGTGCATGTGCGTGTGTGTACATGTACGCACACATATGGCTATACAGTTCTCATCTTGGCCCTTTGCTCTGCAGAGGTAGGCGAGGCTGGAAGCCAGCTGTCCGGGGGTCAGCGACAGGCAGTGGCGTTGGCCCGAGCATTGATCCGGAAGCCATGTGTACTTATCCTGGATGATGCCACCAGTGCCCTGGATGCAAACAGCCAGTTACGGGTGAGGCAGTCATCTTCTTAATGCCTATATCCCACCCCAGCTTGCCTCTTTTATACATCTTCCGTTAGTTTTACTAACATCATAATTATACAAACCAGTCCTTGCAATTCTCAGTTCCCAAATCCAGTTCCATTGGATGCCTCCCCAAGGAGTAGAGATAGAAGACAAGGCAAAGACAAGACACCTAGCACCAGTTAAAAGAGACTGTCGACAAACTACAGACTGACTTTCTTTCTTTCTTTTTTTTTTTTTTTTTTTGGACAATATCTCACTCTGTTGCCCAAGCTGGAGTGCAGTGGCACAATCTTGGCTCACTGCAGCCTCAACCTCCTGGGCTCAAGCGATTCTCCCCTCACCCTCCAGAGTAGCTGGGACTACAGACATACGCCACCATGCCTGGTTGACTTTTGTATTTTTAGTAGAGATGGGGTTTCACCATGTTGCCCATGCATGAGTGTGTCTGTGTGCATGTGCGTGTGTGTACATGGCTTTGAATTCCTGAGCTCAGGTAGTCTGCCCACCTCAGCCTCCTAAAGGGCTGGAGTTATAGGTGTGAGCCACCGAGCCCAGTCCTATAGACTGAATTTCTAAAGCGAAACATAACGAAAAAGCCATCCTCATAATATTGTTTATTTTTAAATTTTTTTTTGGTACAGACAGGGTCCCACTATGTTGCCTAGGCTGGCCTTGAACTCCTGGGCTCAAGTGATCTTCCCACCTTGACCTCCCAAAGTGCTAGGATTATAGGCATGAGCCACTGGGCCCAGCATATCCTAATCATAATATTAATTAAGCTAGTCTCTTTACACACACTGCCACTCATTTATTCATTAGGAATCCTTCTGAGCTAGGCATTTATCATCATTCTACAGATGACAAAATGGAGGCTAAAAGAGATTGAATAAGCTGCTCATATAGAGGTCATATAGCTTTTGAGTGGTGCAGCCTTGACCCAGATTTGGATCTGCCTGACTTGAAGGCTCACCTCTTTACTACTAAGTTATATTTCCTTAAAATCTAATATAAAAATTCCAAGTCCATGGGTAGAGAAGAGGACTATTCAATAGTCTTTATTCTTCTGTCATGTGTTTCACTCTAGGACTCTCACTTTTATCCCACTTTCGCACCCTTCATTTAAAACAGTTCTTAATGAAACAAAGGGTTTGCAGAGAAGTACTCAGAATGGGAAACTTTGGTGTCCTTAGGGTTGTTGGCAGAGTCAGCAGTGATCCTGTGAGGTCAGTCCCAGCCCTGGAAACACAGGTGGCTCCCTGGGCTCCCAGCTCTGACGGTCCGATGTCTTTCCTCAGGTGGAGCAGCTCCTGTATGAAAGTCCTGAGCAGTCCTCTCGCTCAGTGCTTCTCATCACCCAGAACCTCAGCCTGGTGGAGCAGGCTGACCACATCCTCTTTCTGGAAGGAGGCACTATCCGGGAGGGGGGAACCCACCAGCAGCTCATGGAGAAAAAGGGGTGCTACTGGGCCATGGTACAGGCTCCTGCAGATGCTCCAGAATGAAAGCCTTCTCAGACCTGCGCACTCCATCTCCCTCCCTTTTCTTCTCTCTGTGGTGGAGAACCACAGCTGCAGAGTAGGCAGCTGCCTCTAGAAGGAGTTACTTGAAATTTACTTTGAGTGTGTTACCTCCCTTCCAAGCTCCTCATGATAATGCAGACTTCCTGGAGGACAAACACAGGATTTGTAATTCCTTGGTGTGACTGGGTTTAGAGCCAGGGTTGATGCTTTGGTGTGGCCAGCACTCTGAAAACTGAGAAATGTTCAGAATGTACAGAAAGATGATCAGCTATTGTCAATAGCACTGAAGGCGTATGCTGGCCCATAAACACCCTGTAGGTGCTTGATATTTATAATAAAATTGGTGTTTTGTACTGTGGTTTCTTACGTTTCCGGCACACCAAAGTGCAGCGCACTTTTCAGCGCGGGGTGTCTCGTCTTTTATCATCCTCAATGTTTTACCCCCTAAGTGCATCATTTTTTCCCTTAAGCTTTTTAATTCCTATGAGGCCCCTTCCACTTCCCCCATCCCCTTACGCCCACCCCCAAGAATGAGCAAGACCCCGGCTACAGGGCTCACCAAGGCACCAGCGGCCGCAGCTCAGAGCCGTGGCCTCTCCAAGGTGGCAGATGGCGCGGGCGCGGCCAGAGAAAGTGCCAGGGGGGAACGGAGGGACTGGGCGCGCCTCACAACTCACCACCTCGCCCGCTTCGGTCATTCCTGGCTCGCCTGGCTGCGAAGCGGCACCTGGAGGGGAAACCTCAGAACAGTAGGCGGGATTGTGTAGTAAATAGCTCCCATTCAGGGAGGTCCAGGTCGTGTGACGTCGACAGTTGCTGGGTAGATGAGGCCAACACATGTTGCAAGGAGAGGCGTGGTTTAGAGGCGTGAAACTCCGCAGTGCTCGGCCAAGCAAGGAGCAATGCTAGGAAGGGCGGGCAGAAGGGGCACGCTCTTGTGGGTGACTACAGGTTAGGAGACCGTTGAACTGGGAGGGGCCCTAGGATGGATGCCGTGGAAAGATTCAGAGACTGCGGCCTCTTCCTGGCGCCCCCTTCCCCTACACGCGGCGGTTATATTCTGTTGCAGTTGCCCCAGGACCTGTTTCCAAGACTCTGCCCCCTCTCACTTCCGTCCCTCCTGGTTTTGTAAAGTGATGCTCATAGGAACCCCCCCCACCCCGCGTGAAACGACTCCCAGCTCCTGGCTGACTTCCAGTCTTCTGGTTGAGGCTGCGCCTTTAGGTGACACGACCCTACCCACCCCTGTTTCCAGCAGATGCCCAAGCCTGGAAGTACCTCTTACTGTAACCCATCGCCAAGGGGGCTTCTGAAGGCGCCCGTCGCTTTCTCGCTTTCTTCGGACAACCCTTGACCCATCGTTCTCCCGACCCCCATAAAGGGACAGCAGAGAAGACGGTCCCCAATATGATAGTCCTGGTCCAGGCACTAACTGTCCTTTTCTCGGAAAAGGCAGAGGGGATGTGGAAAAGATTCTGGTTCCCTCCCCTTCGATCTGTGGCTTTCGCTTTCACTTCCTCCTCCGAGAACCGACAGATCTCCGGGTGCTGGGCGGTCATGGCGCTACTGGATGTATGCGGAGCCCCCCGAGGGCAGCGGCCGGAATGGGCTCTCCCGGTTGCGGGAAGCGGGCATCGCTCGGACCCAGGACACTACAGTTTCTCTATGCGATCTCCAGAGCTCGCCTTACCCCGGGGAATGCAGGTCGGGGCTGTAGGGGAACCCTCAGGGATGAGGGAAGGCGGGTGCTGAGGAGTGGAGGGTCGCCTGAGAGGAGGAGGCGAGAGCGGGAGCGCGGGGGACAGGGTGGGGGGCAGCCTTCAGTCCTGGAGAGCGCCAGACCCAAAGAAGAGGCCACGTGGGGATGGGGCCTGAGAGGAGGAAGTGCAAGTTAGGACAAAGAGTTACAGGTGAGGTGGGGGCTCCCAAAGGAAGACAAGAGAGCTTTCCTGCCCTTGTCCACACACAAATCGTGGGGCCTTTTTCATGGGGTTATCACATGATATAGGAGCTGTGTGGTGTCTTGGGAAACCTATGAACTTTGCCTGCTGGCCTCGTCTCAGCAACTCACTTTTGCGCGACTTAGAACAAGTCACTTAGTCTAGGTCCCAAGCCCCTCTTCTGTAAAATGAGGATACTGTTACTAAACGGTGTTTTGTGAGGGTCGAATGGTTTATGCATGGAAGAAACACTTTAAGTCACTCTCAAAGTTTTTTCGTTATGGTAACAAGTGCTTGCTTTCATTTCTATTGTGCTGGAAAATGGAAAAGGTTGATACAGCATACCTCTTCCTTCTCCCGAGTCATTTCCTTCTAGAGATTGGTTATTAACTGTTTCATTTATTGATGGTTAGATAATTTGTGCATATCTCCTCACCCTCATACTCTCTAAAACCTTTTCCTGGAGCCTCTTACTACAGAATGTTTCATTGCCTCTCTCTACCTCTTTTCTCTTATCAGCCCACAGAATTCTTCCAGTCTCTGGGTGGGGACGGAGAAGGGAACGTTCAGATTGACATGGCCCATGGCACCACCACGCTTGCCTTCAAGTTCCAGCATGGAGTGATTGTAGCAGTGGATTCTCGGGCCTCAGCTGGGTCCTACATTGGTGAGTCTATACACTCCAGCAGGCTCCAGAATCTGGGGGGCTGGGCTCCCCTTTCTACAGGAGGCCAACTCTGCAGCTAAGTGGAAGTGGATATTGATTTAGGACACATTGGGGGATCTGTGGGGTCATCCCTTCTCTCCCAAAACTCCATCTTCTTCCAGCTACCTTACGGGTGAACAAGGTGATTGAGATCAACCCTTACCTGCTTGGCACCATGTCTGGCTGTGCAGCAGACTGTCAGTACTGGGAGCGCCTGCTGGCCAAGGAATGCAGGTAAGTGAGGCCTCTCATCTTCCTTTCTTAGTCTAGTGGTTAATCCCTGGATCTCTCAGATCATTGCTCCTTACTCTTGTCCTATGTGGTCCATCTTAGTGCTAATAGCATATTTCACGAAACAGCTTTTTGGTGATAAGAACCTTCTCCCAAATCTCAGCCTGTGCTCCACACATAAGCCAGATAATATGTCAGTTATTTAGCACTGACACATCCACCCTGGTGGGATAGTATCATTTACTAGGCTGCCTTTGTATGCTTCAGATACTTTAAATTCCAAATCTTTCTCTCATCTTTAGATCCTACAAAATAATTCCTTTCCAATGCTTATCTCTTCCATCGTTTCCTGTCTCATCAAGTTGGAAAGAGCTAACCTCCCTTCCCTCACTCCACTTTGTCCTCACCCAGGCTGTACTATTTGCGAAATGGAGATCGTATTTCGGTGTCGGCAGCCTCCAAGCTGCTGTCCAACATGATGTGCCAGTACCGGGGCATGGGCCTCTCTATGGGCAGCATGATCTGTGGCTGGGATAAGAAGGTGGGTGCTCTCCATTCTCCATGTTCCCCCACCATGTCCCCCATGGATGACATATGTGTTTCCCATCATATGCTCCTACTCCCTCCCTGACAAGATGCATGGCATATAGAGTGCTTGGTCATAGAACTGTTCCAGTATATCCATGGACTATTTATTGACCCAGATATGAATCATTTCGTGTGTTTTGTAAGCTTGTCCCTTTTGTTAAATAGTTGATTTCAAGTTTGTTTTTTCTTTTTTATTTCTAAAGTTCTATGACTTTACCAGAGTGATTTCCTAATTCCAGTGTTCTTGTGGTAATATTAATTCTTTTGTCCACTTTTTATGACTCACATTTGAACCTCCATATTACCAACATCTTCCTCTCCAATTTCAGCCTGAAATCTTTCATCTTACAGGGTCCTGGACTCTACTACGTGGATGAACATGGGACTCGGCTCTCAGGAAATATGTTCTCCACTGGTAGTGGGAACACTTATGCCTACGGGGTCATGGACAGTGGCTATCGGCCTAATCTTAGCCCTGAAGAGGCCTATGACCTTGGCCGCAGGGCGATTGCTCATGCCACTCACAGAGACAGCTATTCTGGAGGCGTTGTCAATAGTAAGAGACCAATGCTCCCACCATCATGTCTGGGAGGAATCAGCGGGCGGTTGGGGGGTGATTTAAGATTGAGAAACTAGCCTGGCCAAGATGAAACCCCATCTCTACTAAAAATACAAAAATTAGCCGGACATGGTGACGGGTGCCTATAGTCCCAGCTACTTGGGAGGCTGAGGCAGGAGAATCACTTGAACCTGGGAGGTGGAACTTGGCAGTGAGCCAAGATCATGCCATTGCACTCCAGTCTGGGCCACAGAGCGAGACTCTGTCTCAAAAGAAAAAAAAAAAAAGATTGAAAGACTCAAAGGAGGGAGAGTGGTAGGAAGGAAATTTTCAGAGTCAGAAGAAGGGCATTAAAGGCCCAGTCATACGGTTTTAAGCCTGCGCATGTGTCTTGTTGCTGCCTTCAACGTAACATCAGTGACAGGAACTTGCTGAGCTGAAAGGTGACTCCGAGTTCTTTTCTCATTTGTCTACAGTGTACCACATGAAGGAAGATGGTTGGGTAAAAGTAGAAAGTACAGATGTCAGTGACCTGCTGCACCAGTACCGGGAAGCCAACCAGTAATGGTGGTGGTGGCAGCTGGGCAGGTCTCCTCCGCGAGGGCTTGGCCGACTCAGGGACCTGAGCCACGTTAAGTCCCAGAAGAAGCAGCCTAGCCTGAGCCAAAGAGAGAGTATGGGCTCAGCAGCCAGAGGAGGTGGTGAAGTGCATCTTCTGCGTGTTCTCTATCTAAACAAGTGTTTCCCCCAGGGAAGCTTCTGGGTGCCCCACTAAGTAGAATAAAGAAAAACGGTTATAAATACCTCTTGTGGCTGAATGGGGTTGGGCCTGTGGTTGTTGGGTGGGGCAGGAAATAAAGAGACACTTTTTCTGGAGAAGAGACTCAGACCCTTATCTAAGAAATGTGGCCTTACCACATATTTCTTCCTGGGGTTTCCTTCCACACTCATCTCTCCAAGACCTCAGGAAGGCTGTTCATTGTTGTCCATGGACATTTATTTGCAATTTCACATAGGTTAGGGTCCTTTCCATAGAGGGACACCTGGGGACTCCTGTGTGCTCCATTGTTAATGGTTTGAGGAACAGGAGTAGGGCACCTAGGATAACTCTTTCTGACTTTACAGAGTGGGATGAAAAAGCTTCCACTTCACCTTAATACGGTAATCATATAAACACCATACCATTTACCCCAAATAACACTTCAGAGATACTGGATATTGAATATAAAGACAGACATTAGGGGTCCAATTCCATGATGTGTCATGCTGAATTGCAAGATGACAGGACTATAATTCTAGAGGAAGAAGAGATCAGGGGGACTCCCCTAAGTGAGGAGTGCAGGGAAAATGTGAAAGACGCAGGTTAGAAGAAATAGACACACATCATGAGATTTCCGGAATCACGCTGGAACTACGGACCGTGTCCCTTTCCAGAGAATAAAGGAAACAAATGCTTGAAAGTAGGAGCATGAGCTTGAGCATGGAACTTTCTTCATTAGAGAGAGATACCTAAAATTCCAGAATGAATAGAGTTGTAAAAACTTTAGCGAGTCCCTACTTAAAATCCCTCCTCCCCACCACCACTGACTACCAAGGAGTCACACAGATAACATTTCAAAATGGTGAGCTGGAATCCAAGTGACCCTTCCTTTGGGGGTTTTGTTTGTTTGTTTTTAGTTTGGGAGGTGGTTTCAATCTGAAGAGTCCTTTCTGGAATAAACGAATCTTTCTGTTGCATAGGTAGGCTCTGGGTCAGGAAGGATATTTAGAAAACTGATTACTGTTCTAAACAGTGTTAAAATAGAACAAGAACCAAAGCCCGGTACCGTGCATTTCCCTCATAGGCTGAAGGTGCGCCCAACATAATTTGGAATACAGGCTTAGAGGCATCTGAGCACGCGCCAGCTCAAGGTGCTCTGCTGAGAAGGACGGATGAAGAGAAGGACGGATGAAGAGGTCAGGGCCTCCTAAATTCAAAATCTGTACGTGAAAATCCCCTTTGGCCTGGTGAGATTGGTTGGAACCTTCTATTTAGGAGAGCCCGGCATATTTTTTCGTTCGCCTAAAACTGGAGCTTGCATGGAACAGGGCACTTTTTTTTTTTTTTTTTTTTTGAGACGGAGTCTCGCTGTTTCTCCCAGGCTGGAGTGCAG